GCCTTTGCATATCTCATCCTCGAAACCCGCGGCTAACGGCACTGACTTCTCGACGCCATCCATTTGTGCATGATGTGGTTCAGGCGGGTGAGGGTGGAGTTCAACAGGCGATAATACAGATGATGCATCGTCTATGTTCTGTGGATCCTCATCTATTGGATACTGCTGGCAATTGTCAACTAACGTTTCCTCCTCGGATGGTAGTTGATTGGTAATATGCTGGACTGGTGTCTCCATGCTCAGTGCCACCGTGGTAGCAGGCTGCTCACCACGTAGGAGTTCAATCATGGGGTGCCTGCCGAAGAAAGACAAGAATATGTCTCGCATTATGGCAAATGATGTTGGATAGTGCTTCGCCTCTTGATCAGGGCAATAAATGTACTTTATGAAAAGAAACTTGCGATCGTAGAGATACTCTCTCTGAAGGGGGCGACCTGCCCGCCTATCGGGTCTTTCCTTATCCCAATTGACGGCATGGTCCGGCATTAGAGGTGCAGCGGACTGTTTTTGCTCGACATCGAACATTTCACGAAATTTCCTTGCAATGTAATTTACTTTGCTGTTCGCCTCGGGACCTATTACGTCTCTCGAAAGTGTTTCACATATATACTGAAAGGCAGGCAGGTTCGGGTTTCTGTAAGTGTTCTGATGGTTCCTCGAAATATCGAAGCCGAATTTTCTCGCTGCACTGGACAACAATGGCCTCCCGCGAACTTTTAGTAGCGGTTGAACACTGTCTTTGCCGTTTGTTCTTCCTTTTCGAGGCTCGATAAAATGTCGGAATGCTACCAACCAGAGCTGCAGCAGGCTAATCAAAGATGCGAACTCTTCGAGTTTCTCGATGGTGATCCCAGAAGGCAATTTTACTTCCTCGAATCGGGTTTCAGATAGCTGTACACAGCAGGATCCGTTCCATCCTCCCCAGGACCTTAACAGAGTGTCCTGAATTGATACCTTGTTCCTAGTGGAGCAGATATCGCGGATCGCGCGTGCAGGACCGGATAGTAAGATGGCGTCTTGAAAGAAAGTGGAGAGGGTGAGTATCCTTCCGGGAACTACGAGCAGGCTCTGCAGCACACGGTCCCGGTCCTTAGAATTTGTCAGCCTGGGGAACAAAGAAGCCTGACAACTATCATTAATAGCATCGACGATTTTGTTTCGATCATCCAGAGAATACTTCGGCATCAATCCTTCCAGAAAGCCAACAGATTTTGGGTCAACCAGAAACGCCATATTTCCGGGGAAAAGGCCAGACCAGAGGCGATAGATATTTGTCAAGTAGGAAACCATGACCTGCCTCTCATGAGCAGTTTATAATTTATGGATGGATAAAGAACGATGGTATACCTCGTTGCAACGCGGATTGAACATGTACTCTAACTTCCGGTACGTGAACGTCTCCCAGAGCCCCTGGTAGGGAGCGAGGTCCGCCAGCGCCCCTCGCAGAGGAATATTCGAATCTACCTTTTTGACGTAGTGGTAGTCCGTGTCAGATTTGAACTTGTGCCGCCAGCCCTCTGATGTACGTGGTGCGTAGTTGCAGAGTAAGTCGCGAAAGGCCTGGGCATCCGTAATGTTTGCCTCTATAGCATACTGGGCAGTAAGATGAATCTGCAAGTAGAGTGGTAGAGCTTTTTGCGCAATTATGATCAGAACTTTATGTTACGGATCGTCAGGGAATAGCTTCTTACAATTCAGGTATAGCCTAGTTGTCCACCACTTTTCTCCAGGCGGAAGAAAGCGCCGAGCCGCCTCAAGAAGATCCCGGCCGCGCAAGCACGGGAGAACAACGCTTTTTTCAAGCATAAGATGAGGTGGGTTTTGTGAGAATGACAACCCTTCTGGCGCTATGCCCGTATCCAAAATCGCCCTGTTCAACTGGTCCTCAGTGATGACAGCTATAACGAAGTGCTCTGGGTCCAATCGAGAACACTCGTCTAACGTGAAACGCTTAGAATACCATTTGACATTCTCTTCTGCATCAAACTCATGCGACAATTGCTGGAGAGAGATTTTGGCAAACCCCACGAAGTGCTTTTGTACTTCTTGAGACTTGGTGTCTATATTCTTGTTAAGCCAGCCTGCTCCACTCATAATGTATGATTAAATCTTTCACGCCTGGGTAATTAGTTACGGAAGGAAAGGGAAAAAGGGTGGGAAGTACGTCAGTACTTATAGATTTTGGTTCACTTTGGACTGGCTTACAAACTGTGCTTAGTATGTTTCATATCTAATAAACTTATTTTTACTTCGCTAGAACTCGTTATTGGATAAAAAAATGATAAACCAGAGAAAAAATACAACATCTATTTCATTCAAAAAGATTCATCTCATCCTTTTTGATACGATCTGGAAGAACCCTCCCATATCGAATCGCGTCCAGATACTGGGGTTTGAGATTCCAGGACCTGTCCCCAGGTGGTGCCTGTTGCAAGAATTCATGCTGATAATTCAGGGCGGGCGTAAAGAAGACAGATAGACATCGTTACTAACCTGAAATAATATAGAGTATGGAGCCGTTTTTAGTTCACGAATAAAGTCTTTGCCGTATGCGGATATATTGGCCGGATCCTGCAAGTACCTTTCTCCTTCTTCAAGGATCGTCCGTGGGTCACAGAGATTAACTAACAGAGTTGCTACGCTGTCCCGATCAGTCTCCCTCTCTCTGAGTGTTACTCCTTCAAGCATGCTGCTGCCAATATTTGCTATAGTATTGTCAGATTCCTAACAGGCTGCGAACAGAGCAAGTACTTAATACTAACTTATCCGCACCTCTCCATCATGGAAAAGCAAGACGCTTTTGCTCGAAATCGCGCCATGGCTAATCCGAAGGGTGTCGTGTACATACTGGAGGCCTCTGAGGACACTCCTGCAAATTGTGGCGAAATCGACGTCACTAAGATAAACATGAGGACTCGAACGAACAAGAGATAATGTCACTGCGAGTCCGTGGTATCGGTAAGCAAGGAAGAGTGTATTTCCATGGTAGAAGGCCTCCAGCAGGTCAACGATATTTGGATGTGTAGCTGCTCGTAGATTTGACTGCCCATAATGCTTTTTGCCCATGGTTTTGAGTTTTATCAATACTTCTTCCGGGTATCCTGGAGAATTTTCAAGGCCAATCCACCCAGGTCCGGCTTGGTCGATCTTCCAAGATATGAGATATTTCCGAGATGGTTTCCCATCTTGTATAAATTTGCAACCCGTCTGTTGTGGACTAACTGGACCATTATAATGCTCCTGTGAATCAGTCGCGTTGGTAGTGGGTAGTACATGGAGGGGCACATGGATTCGAGCAGAATGTCTATTTTGATTTGCATCCTCTCCACTGGGCTTGTCAAGCGAATCCACACCACTAGGTTTCACATCCGGTCGGCTATTGCTATTCCAAAGATGAGGTGGAAGGCATGTATTACGCTTCGACTTTTGCATGATTGACAGAAATGGCAAGAACACCTCCACCAAAGAAAACGTTGAATGTGAGAGCAGCCGAAGCTTATATGGCCCTTGTATGTCAAACGAACAGCAGTAGGGACTTCTGACATCACTGTACATAGAAGGCTGAGAACCCATAAATGTAGACGCATTGAATAAGTCGCTACTGTTTGTATAATCAACATCTGTCTTCCAAAAAGACACAATAGCGGCATTCCAAGGCTAAAGAAGGCTAGAAGTTGTTGGAATTGGACCGATGTACCTAAGTGGGACAGAGTGGGTTCCGAGAATGCCTATCACCTGTATTGCCCGCGATACTCTTTTACTGCCGCACCCTAGTTCTGGTGCCGGCCGCGGCCCCTTTGGGTTACGTTTCGGCGCGTATACACCATTAAGCCTTCAAGCAATCGATATATGGCACCTAGCATTCAAAGTACGGAACGTAGTCGTCATTTACGTGGTGGATCCTATTCCATTGCCTCTACTCGTAATAACGCTCAAAAGCGACGTATCTATTGCCCCTTACTGATCATTGATGCCACTAAAAACATACGTCCACGCGAAATCATGCGCTGGCATTGTACGACCCTAATGCATCCTTGCCACCCGCGGACCCGTTGGAACTATATTTCCATTTTGCAAACCTGTCATGTGCTAATAGGATCTATACTATCCTGGGTGCTACTAGTGATACATACATTCCGTGGCAGTCTCCGAAAGGTGGGACTGGTGACCCCGGCCCACCATTCACTACAGAGTCACATTAGTCATAAACCTCTCCCTTCAGTAAGGGGACAAGGAAAAAAAAAAACCACAAGAAGTTCGCCCTCAAGAAGTGGTACTGTACAATGTTCAAGAAGACACACAAGGATATAGAGGTAGTTTGTTACCTGCGTACCAGTCAAGGCGAGTACTATTCTGGTGGATCTTGCCCATGTTCCCAGCCCACGAAAGCAAGCGAAACTCTTGTACACTAGACGATGAGTGGAGACCCGCGAGCAATGCTGGGGTGGTGGGGGCTTCCGAGCGTGCGCCGCTGCTCTCTAAGGACACCAACCTGCGACCCTTTTTAGGTGCCGCAGTCTAACTATCCGTGGTGCTGCAGCGGCTTTTGGGTACGTTTCGTCCCAAGCACATATTTAAATTGGAAACAAATGTTAGTCAATATAAAGTACTACCGCAAACAAACGCCAATACCCTGCAATAGCCTGCCTTCAGTTCAGCCCTCAATGGCTCCACCAAAAAAGTTAGGCTCTCCAATCGAGCTACCAGTCCGCAGGTCAACAGTTATACCCGTTACGCTTTTCCCATCGGTATCTTTCCGTAAGGATCACAGAAGAGGCGAGTTCGTCAAATATGGGTCTCCATACAACCAGGAAGACCGACTCTTTTTTGGACTAAACCCTCCTTGGAACAA